TAAAATTACTGAAAGCTGCAAAAAAAAAAAAATGCATGTATATATATATATATATATATATATATATATAATACTATAAAAAATGTTTCATTAATGCCCAGTTTGTTTTTGGAGGTCTCATAAAATGGTGAAATGAACTTACTGTTTTTGACGTCACAGCTCATGACGTGGCGAGTGAACGGCTTGGAACTGTGCGCGTTCTTGCGCATGCCATCAGAAAATGAAATAAATTCGGGTTAAGGGTAGAAGGGAAACATACAGCAAAAACTACTGGGCATGCGCACATCAATAGAGCGTAATTTTTCTCACACTGTACGACAATTATTACTATTTTTGCATTCTTGTAAGGTGTAGGTTTAGGGTTGGGGTAGGTGTAGACGTAAACAAAACACAAACTAATAGGTAGAAAATTCAATTTATTGTTAGCTTCCGGTTTTTGCTGTGAGACGCCATTTTCCTGCGGCTCGTTTCTGCGTTAGTCACGTGGCATTTACGGCTCAGGTGACTGGCTGAAAAACTTCCATGGCCCCTATGAGGAAAGATGCCATATTTCCTGCACCAGCTGAGGAACATTGGGATTTCGTCAGGAATCCATAACACATCATAAGTAAACATTTATGAATGTATTTGCTGTATTGAATGTATTTGGACTTAAGAGTGCTTTCAAACTAAAGTTGAGCTATATGGGAAAAATATAGTCCACCTTAATACAATTTCTTTACTCTTTTATTTTATTTAACACGTCTATCTCTCCTGCTCAGGGGCGTGGCATCTGGGTAGGCTATGTATGCACAATGAATATGGGCACAGGCTGGTTGGGGACCCACCGAGGGGATCCTTTTATTTAAAACGAGGGAACGAATTCTTAATTCGTGGTCACAATAAATAAATAAATCAAATTTGTTATAGGCCTATTGAACTGCATCCTTTTTTTAAACTAGACCTACGTGCAAACAAATAAAATAATAGTTAATAGGCTAATTCCAAATAACTGTGTGAGGTTGGTATCTAGTTAAGAAAACTGTATCACAATCACATCTAGCTTCAGCAACACCTGCACCGTATTATCTTTCTTTCATTTTAATTCTCTTTTATTGAAAGACTATCGAAAGTAGCTATTCTTTCCATTAACAATACACGGAGCCTTAAATTAAACACCAAGGACATTGTGGATGAATTTGCCGAAAGAAAGGCCTGGAGATTTAAATTAAATTAATAAGCTACAACTAAAATAAGTAGGCCTTTCTTAATTTCTTTCTTTCTTTCTTCTTTCTGCGTTGTGGGCCACCTACTCAAAAAAAAAAAAAAAAAAGGTCTGTGACAGTTAACTGACTGATAGCCTATATGAAAATAATAAGACAGTGTTGGCAAAGTTTCTGAGGTAAATGTTATGTTAGGACTGTTAGGACTATTTACAAGCTGTTTTATTGACGATTTGCGAAGCACTGTGTGATCGATTACATGAGACATTCGTTTTATTAAGTTGTGCTGATTTTTTCAACATGTCTTCTGATATTCATTCATGTTTATCTCGTGCTGGAACTAGTAGAAAAGATGAAAAAGATGATTGATTCTCATGCCGCTTGAACTGAGGCGAATAGGCCTACAGTGATCTCACGTCACATTAAAGAGCGGAAAAACACAAGCTGTCTAGACGTCGCACACTCGGTGTCTGCTGGAATCTTCTGGATCTCACATTCTCATCATCATCAGGTCAGCAGGCGAGGTCTGATCAGCAGGGCAGAAGGCAGCATCCACACGCTGAGGTCTGGCCATTTCTGCATCTGAACAAGAAAAATAGATGAGGACAGGGGAGAGAGAGAATGAGTGGGGTTTACGGGGTAAGGCAGCTCTCCTACTGTGACTTGGCGCACACCACTGGACAGCTGGAGACTGTAGGAGAGAAGAACCTGCCAAACTCTGACAGAGAGGGAATTTTGCAAGTTTCAACAATACTTAGTTAAAACATTATTGACCCAGTTTACATACACTACAGTTCAAAATTTAGGGTGATTTATTTATTTATTTATTTGAAAGAGATGCTTTTATGCAGCAAGGATGAATTAAATTGATCAAACTTGACAGTAAAGTCATGTATAAAGTTACAAAGATTTTTATTATAATGCTGTTCTTTTGAACTTTCTATTAATAAAAGAATCCAGAAAAAGTATCACTGTTTCCACACAAATATGAAGCAGCACAGCTGTTTTCAAAACTGATATTAATCAGAATTGGTTCTTGATATGTGAAGGATCATGTGACACTGAAGACTGGAGTAATGATGCTGAAAATTCAGCTTTGATCACAGGAATAAATTACATATTAAAATATATTACAATAGAAAACCTCCGAGGCCCGGACTCCGCCTCGGCCCGTAGACCCAGCGGCTCCACCTTGGCTCCTAGCTCCCTCACCTCCACCGTCACCCGTTGATCCACTGGGCTACCTCGTCCCTCCGGCTCTGCCTTGGTCGGGCGTTGATCCGCTATCGCCTCAGGACTCCGCTCCTCGGGCTGCACCTCGTTGCTCCGGCTCTATTGGGCTCCTTCCTCCCGCCAGCTCCACCTTGGTCCTCAGTCGCTCCGGCTCCGCCGCGGATCTCCAGATCTCCGCCTCGGTCGCCAGAGCCCTAGGCTCCACCCTGGCCCCCCGGATCCTCCGCAACCCCTGGCTCATTGGCTCTCCGCCTTGGGCTCCTCCACCACCTGCTCCGCCACCGTTGGTCAGCCCCCTGGAGTCGGCAGCCATTACTCCTCCATGGCTCCTCCCTCCATCGGCTCCACCGTGGGTCGACATTATGGCTGTGGCCTGGGTCCTCCCTGGCTCCTCCTTCCCTCGTCACCTCCCTGGTCTCTGTCTGCCGGCCCCCTCCCAGGTGTCCGTCCTCCTCCGGAACCTCCTCCCAAGTTCACACCCACACCTCCCTCTGTTGTTGCTAGGGTGCGAGGACGCACCTTCCGGGAGGGGGCGTTATGTCAGGGTTATGGACCTGTCTGTGTGTGTTTTTGCTCCCTGTGACCCAGTTTCTGTCT